CGTGCTAAGATCTCCGGTAACTGGTTAACAGTATTAACAGTATTTCTAGTTCGCGCGCGCGGGGCGGCCCCTGGGGGTCCCCCGGCGAAAAGTACCACCGACCAACGCCCGGTCGCCGCCCGACCGCCGCCCGACCAAGTCTACTCAGAGATGGTTTTCCTTCTGGGTGCGGCCTCTCAGGCTCCCAGAGCGCGCTCAGAGTGCCCCAAGAGGCCCCCAAGACTGCCCAAGAGGCCCCCGAGACGCCCAAAGAGCGCTCGAAGACGCCGAAGATGACCCCAAGACGGCCCAAAAGGCCCCCAAGACAGCCCAAGAGGCCTCCAAGACGCCCCAAGAGCCTTCCAAGAGGCCTCCGAAGAGAGCCCCAAGAGGCCAAAATCGTTGATTTTCATTGGTTTTTTCGATGTTTTTTGTGTTCTGGCTTTTTCGGCTTCCGGACGCTCCAAGACGGCCCAAGAGGCCCCCAAGACCGCTCCAAGACGGCCCACGAAGCTCCCAAGACGGCGCCGAAACGACCCAAGAGAGCCCTCAAGACGGCCCAAGTGCCGCCCAAGACGGACCAAGAGGCCCCAAGACGGGCCCAAGAGGGACTCAGGAGGGATACCGAGAACTCAAAAATGGAGCCCTCCGTCCCAGAAGGCGCCCAGGAGGTCCCAAAGAGGCCCCAAGAGGCCTCCAAGAGGCCCCAAGATGTCGCCAAGAGGCCCCAGGAGACTCCCAGGAGGCCCAAAAGAAGCCCCAGAAGGCTTCAAACATGTCTCCCAGGCGCCCCCGAACGGCCTCTCAACAGACCCCAAGAGGCCCCCCAAAGAAGCATCTTGACGACGACTCTATTTCGCCCCATCGAGAGACGACCCCCAGGGAACTGCTTCACCATCAAAACTCCCCACGCAACGCGTCCGAACGACACCCGCCCCCAAGAGCGCAACATGGGCAACGAACACACAGACAAAAACCAGCGATGCCATATCACGGGCCGGCGGAATGAGCGAAGCGATTCAATAATTCGTGAGAAAAGCACGAGCGAGAGCGCGATTCCTGGTGAGCGTTTCCTTATTCGGCATTTCGACATTGGGCGGAAGGGAGGGGGAAGGGGAGGGGTCTGGCTCCAGGCCTCTGCTTAGTGCGGCTGTTTGCAGCAGTGGGTCTTATGAGGGGAGACTCCGCATGCTCGAAACAGGCGCCACAAAACAGCCAAGATCCACTCCAGGGGGGGGGGAAGGGGGGGTCCGAGGGCCCGCGCCGACGATCGGCAAAACAGTGAATAAAAAACGATCACCTGAGCGTCGAGTGCGCGACGTTTGAATAAATTGCGAGGAAGTCCCACGCGAGAGCGGGATCCTGCATAAATTATGAGAAAGACCTGCGCGAGAGCGCCACTTTGGAATGAATTGTGAGGAATATCAGGCGGGAACCGCTGTTGTTGTAAACCGGGGGCCAACAACACAGTTTGGTGACACTCCACTTTCCCTTGAAAAGACAGGGTGCGAGCCCCGGGAATAGCACTTCAATTGAAAAAAGGTTACCGGAGGGGGGATCAACAATAACTATTCTTTAGAAATGACAAAACAACAACCTCAACAACAGCAATACCAAAAACAAGAAGGAGAACAACAACAACCACACAAACCAAAACAACAAAACCAACTACCACACAAAAGAAGAGTACAAAACAAACGGAAAAAAAACTGGAAATGATCATCAACAACAACAACAACAACAGCAACAACAACAACAACAACAGCAGCAACAACAACAACCACAACAACAACACAAACATACCAACAATAACGAAAACCAAAGATAACAACACCCATACCACTCATAACAACAACCAGAACAACAACAACAACAATAATCACAACAACAACAACAACCATAACAACGACAACAAAACCATACCAACACCAACAACCACAACACCAACAACAACAACAACGACGACAACAACAACAACAACAACAACAACAACAACAACCACAAAAACAGCAGCAACAGCAACAGCAACGTCAATATCAATAGCAACAAAACGGCGTCAGAGACCTGGTTAGCCTTGCCGCATTGATGACAGCTCGGTCGGCGTCGAATCGGCAAGCCGGATCGGATCGGAACGCGCGCCGGATCGGGCCGCATCGGCACGGAGCCGAGATCGAGCGGGATCGGCCGCGCAGGATACATACACAGCAGCGCCACGCAGGCCTCGGGCCGCGTCGGATCGCATCGGGCCGTCGGGAACACCGCGCTCGGGTCGGGTCGGGCTGGCCAGGATCGACATCGAGTCGGGTCGAAGCGGATCCTGCCTTGATGTTATGCTGTTCCCATCGCACTGCAGGACCACATCCCAGAAATAATTTCGAGCACCCAGAAAAGTATCGAAACAGGGTCGAGCGAGTATCGCCTACCAGGGCCCGACACGCGAAAACTCTTCGGTTTCGGTGCTTTCCTGGTGCTCGAAGTTCTCTTTCTGGTGGCCAAGGCTAGCAGGTTGGAACATCATGACCTTGATGTGGCGGATGGAGTACTCGTAGTCCGCGGGCGAGATGCGCTTGTTGAAGCCCAGCTCGAGGCGCTTCGTGCGCGCAGGCCGCGCGAGCTCCGGCAGGGCGTCCTTGGCCTGCACCGCGGTGAGCTCGAAGAGGGGCGCGGGCGGGTCGTTCTCCTTCGGGTCGGGCGGGGCCTTCACCTCTGGCGGACCCACTCTTGGGTTTACACTGGCCCTCCTCCTCCTCCTCCTCCTCCTTCTCCTCCTCCTTCTCCTCCTCCTCCTCGTGCGCAGACTCTCGCTCCGCCCTGCGTCCCTCTCTGCCTCCCCTCCTCGTCCACCTGCTCTGCCCCCGCCCGCTCCGAGAAGGGGCGCCGGCGTGGCGACATCGGGCGGAAGGGGGGTGAGGGGCGGGGGTCGGGCTCCAGACCCCTGCGCAGCATTCGCTGCAGCGGCGCCCCCGTGGAGTTCAGAGCTCCCTCCGCCGGCGCGGAGGACCCCTGCCTACGGTGGGGGGGGGCTCCACCTGCCCGAAGCAGGCGCCAAAAACGGCCGAGATCTGCTCCACGGGGCGGGGGAGGGGGGGTGCGAGGGCCCGCGCCGACCGGCACAGCAATGGATAAGAGGACGACGCCCACCAGAGCTCTCAAGCCAGCGGTGTTTCCTCGATGTCGGCCCTTGGGGGCCTACCTCGGGCCCTGGGACCATCTGAAGTGGATCCAGGGCGATGAGCGACCCCTGGAGGAGGGGTCGGGGCCCCTGGGGCCGAGGAGGGAAGAGACCACCTCGGCGGCTGTCGGGGAGGGGACGGCACGAGGGGTGCGGCCTTTTCCAAGGAGGCGGGGGCCTCAGTAGAAGGCAGAGGCCTTCATGGGAGGGCCCAGGGGCTTCCAAGAAGGCTTCTGGGAGGCCAGGAGGGCGTCCAAGAAGCCCCAGCTTCTCCTCTCTGAAGACATCCAGGCCTCTCGGAGGGCCGACCCCCCCCCCGCACGCCCCCCCACCCTTGTGCGCGCCGCCAACCTCCTCCAGCCAGGTCGGGAGCCACTGCTCGAAGCCGGTCTCGAACTTATCCTCGTCCTTATCGTCTCCGATGCCGATGGGCGTGAGCCTGTTGGCGCCGAGCTCAACCATCCGCGCCTCGTAGTCCTTGCCAGCCGAGCAGAAGTGGCGGTAAGCCTTGTCGCCCAGGGCGAAAATGGAGAAGTTCACGCCCTCCAGGCTGCCAGGCTCTGCGCGGCCGAGCTCCTGCGGCGAAGAGAGAAAGGAAACAAACTGCCACAGGGGGCAAACAAACCTGCCTCGCTTTTGACCACCCTCGCTTCCAAGAGATGCCAAGCGATGCCAAACTACGGCATGTACCGGTCAGGCCGCTTGACGAGGAGGCGTATGGTATGACTTGGTTTTGCCTGGAAGCGAAAGCGGGGTACGGCAGGTTCGTGTCGTGCCGACCCTGGCGTTGGTTTTTGACACCGCGCTGGATCGTTCAACCTTGAACGATCGGCCGCTGCCGCAACGTCCGATCGTTCAACATCGACCGATTCTGGGCCGCCGGCGGCGTTCAACGTTGAACGCCGCTGGCGGGGTCGCCGCTGGTCGACACGACGCAAACCTACCGTAGGTAACTCACGCTCTGATCTGCCAGCAGAAACGCTCGTCGGAGGTCCGCGCGGACTCCTCGGGTCCACGCCGGGCCTCCCCCACCAAAAACTCCCGGCGGCGAGGTCCGGCGCCGACCCGAGAAGTCCGAGCGGGCCTCCCGGGGCTCATGGTCTGTACCGTCGCTGTGCCCTCCTCCTCCTCCTCCTCCTCCTCCTCCTCCTCCTCCTCCTGAGGAGGAGAAGGACGGGGAGGACTCCTCGAAGAGGGTCAGCGCGTTCTGAGGGATCTGCCCCTCGCCGCAGGTGGCGATCAGGATCACGACGTCCTTCCTCTGCCCGAGGTCCTCGACCGAGAGGTCGTTGAGCTCGGCCAGCTCCACGCTGTAGCCTCGGGAAGTGGGGGGGACAGCCTGACCTCGACCTGCTGTGGTAAGCGACCAGTCCGTGCGCGTTGCCAACTTGTTTCAGCTCGATTGGGCACACGGAAGCTGATTGATTCCATGCGCACTGGTCGCTTGTTGTGTTCGAGACATACCACTACAAATGTCTGATGCGCGTCTCAACATCTGCGCGCCCAAACCTGAGGTTATCTGAGCGTGTCGGCCTCTGAACGATGTGCAGCCAAAGAAGCGCCCACGTGTGTGTGTGTGTGTCTGATCACCGGGGGCCCAAAGGCTGCTGCCTGAGCGCACCTATCACACGGATTCGTGCGGTTAGTGTCCACGTCCCCTATTTTATGTGCATATTTATACCTATACGACCACCCTGCGGGTGATAAGGAGGTGCGGGGGGAGGGGGAACCAACGTCTCACTCAATCGATCTCGCTATCGATCTCACAATCGATCTCACATTCGATCTCACTATCGATATCACTATCGATCTCGCTATCGATCTCACTCAATCGATCTCACAATCGATCTCACAATCGATCTCACATTCGGTCTCACATTCGGTCTCACTGTCGATCTCACTATCGATCTCACAATCGATCTCACAGTCGATCTCACATTCGATCTCACATTCGGTCTCACTATCGATGTCACTATCGATCTCACAATCGATCTCACAATCGATCTCACATTCGGTTTCACATTCGGTCTTACTATCGATCTCACTATCGATCTCATTATCGATTTTCACTCGGCAATTTTCAATCGGCACCATCATCATCATCATCATCATCATCATCATCATCATCATCATCATCATCATCATCATAATCATCATTACCATCATCATCTCACACTCAATCTGACTATCGATCTCACAATCGATCTCACTATCGATCTCACAATCGATCTCACATTCGGTCTCACTATCGATGTCACAATCGATCTCACAATCGACGTCATCATCATCATCATCAACAACAAAAACATCAACATCATCATCATCATCACCATCATCATCGTCACCATCATCATCATCATCATCATCATCATCATCATCATCATCATCATCATCATCATCATAATCATCCACATCATCATCGGGACACCGACGGGACACCGACGGGACACCAGCGGGACACCGGCGGGACACCGCGCGCCACCGGCCGCCCGAAGAGACACATTTGGTCCGGCCGCGCCTCAGCCACAGGGACACCGACGGGACACCAGCGGGACACCGGCGGAACACCGCGCGCCACCGGCCGCCCGGAAGAGACACATTTGGTCCGGCCGCGCCTCAGCCACAGGGACACCGACGGGACACCAGCGGGACACCGGCGGGACACCGCGCGCCACCGGCCGCCCGGAAGAGACACATTTGGTCCGGCCGCGCCTCAGCCACAGGAGACTTTCCTCTCGCCCGCCCACGCAGCTTCGCCTCGCCCGCGCGCACGGCACGCACGAACACGAAACCGAAATCGATTTCCCGGTAGGGGGGCTCTCCCTTCCACTTCGATCTCACCCCCTCACCTCCGATAGAGAGAGACCCCCCGGCCACGTCCCCCAGTGTATATATATATATATATATATATATATATATATATATACACACGATACATAGATACATATATGCATGAGAAGATAAAATTCAGCCAGCCCATGATGTAGATGATGCAACGAATACATTACTCCAATCTCCTTCTTCACCTTCGGGGACGGAGTCATCTCTGCTTCATTCAAAACCCCCTCCCTTTCCCGACTGGCGGCAAACCCGAAACCATGCCCGCACGCCATCGCCATTCCCTGTCACAGGAAAATACAACGTACGCTTGACGACAAAATCTTGGACCGTGCGATGGTGACCCGCGATCACTTTTTGATGTTGTTTTCGCAGGGATGATGGTGTGTAGGGGGCCTCAGATTGTCTGGTGTGCGCGGGCGCACCCTCACTGCCGAAAACACAAGTAAAGTGATTGCGGGTGCACACACAGTACACCACGACGGAGCCCCGCCGCTGACTGTGCATGAATTTGTGTCAGGGACGGTCGGGGGGCGACACGTTCCACGATGTGTGCTAGCACACGACATACTTGGCGCACGTGGAACCCGTGGCGCAGCTAGCGCACCGAGGCTCCTCCGCCCCGCCGACGAGGAGGGGAGGGGGCCAAGGAGCGCCCGCACCTCTTGTGGCGGACGCACGGGTTCTGGTCCGCCCCCATTGTTTGTTTCACCTCTGCCTGCCCTGCACGCCTCCCTCTCGTCCTTCGCCCCCCTGCTCCGCCACCGTGCCGCGAGGCACCGAGCGGAGTGCCGCTGCATGAAGAGAGGTGGGGCGTCCTGGCGGCCTTGCCCCTGATCACAAACATTGACATCGGCTGAAGCGTCACAGACCCGAAGGCTGGGACAAGCTCGGGACGCCGACGCCTGGGGAACAGGCCGTGGATAGCGTGTCGCGTCGCAGCGTGGTAGGCCAGAACCGGCAGAGCGACAGACCAAAGCCAAAATTCCCGACTGTGACCTCCCAGGAGCCGCAAGCAAGACCCAGAAAGACGCTGCCTCGATTATTGCAGCAAGGGGTCCCTGGAGTTCCCGACCCTTCCCCATGGAAGTCGCGGCCAAAGAGCCACGTGCCCAGGAATTCAGAAGCCGTAGAGGCTCAAGAAGCCGAGTGGCGTGCCCTCAGGTCCCTTAGAGCCCTCCGTTCTCAAATCCAGGGGGTCAGTTCAGCGGCCCACAGCCTGGAGTTCCAGGCGAGAGCAAGCGCTCTCGACGCTTCTCGGCGCTTTTTGTCGGCGCGCCTGGGCCTTCCCGCATGACTTTTGTTCGCATCCACGGGGGGCTCCAAGAAGAGCCAAGGGGGCCCCAAGAGGCTCCCACGACGGTCCAAGAGGGCCCCGAGTCGCTCATAGATCGCTGGAAGCCGCCCAATGGCCGCAAGACGGACCAACAGGCCCCCAAGACGCTAATGGAGGGCCCCACGAAGCCCCCTAAGAGAGCCCCAAGTGACAAAAATCGCCCCAATCCCTCAGGGAAACTAACATGCTTAGCATAGTTGCCTTTTCGGCCTTCACCGCGTCCAAGACGGCCCAACAGGCCCCAAAAATCGCTCCAAGGCGGCCCAAGAGGATCCCAAGACGGAGCAAAGAGGCCCCACGACGGCCCAAGAGGCGCCCGAGAAGGCCGTAAAGGGTCCCAAGAAAACTCCACGAGGGGAAA